CGAGACTTGTCGCGCTGCTGATCTCCGTGACGCGAGTTCTGTGGTCGCTTGTCGGTAGGCAGCGGCTCTCGGAAGTCTGGCACGGGGTTGGGGTTCTCGACTTCGGCGTATGATATGGGCCTGGCGTGTGATCGGTCTGGTACATCCTTCTGTTCCTTGACAAAGCCTCCCTGGTACGATCCTGGAGCCCGTCGAGGGTCACCGTGTCTGCCACGATCAGCATGATACCGCTTGTCAGGACGACTGCGCGGCGGAGAGGCCTTGCGCTTGTAGCCCCTTGCATCATTCCCAGTGTGGTCGGCTCGGCTTCGTCGATAGGGCGATGGCGATCGGTCGACGGCGCGGTTCCTCCGATAGGGTGACGGAGAGCGTGATGGGGTGCGCTTGCGGCGGTATGGCGAAGGGGAGCGACTCAATGCGCGGTAGTTATCATAAGCACCATCCAGTCCAAAGGACCTGCTTGAGCCGTTAATCGCAGGTTCGTCGCGCGAGTTGACTGTGTTTGCCTTGTGTCGGGTATCCAAGACCTCGCCCTCTGAAGCTGAACTTGAGCGAGACGCTGCCATGTTGGCTCTTGCTATGATGCTGGACCGCGCTATCTTGCTTCAGAAGATAAATTCTGGCGTCAGCTTGCTTCTTGTTGATGAGAAGATTGAGTGTCTCTATCACTGACTGTGTAGCAGAGAAGGAGAGACAAGCGCGACCGCACCGAGATGGTGAGTAGGAACGCGCTGGTGATGGGTGAATTCGTCGTGGTCTCGTCGCGGTTGGCTTCGCGATTCAGCGGGGAAAGTGCAATGAAGTCAGAGCTTTAGGCATTACCTAAGCAGGCACGTGACCTAATAATCCATCCCTCAGCAAGACCACGTTTGCCTCTCCAAGCCAGCGCTCAATGTTCTCGATATCATCTCGGTCGATTGGTCAGGTTATTTGATACAACAATATGTAGTGGAAGTCCAAGCTTTTGAGCCGTTGGGATGTTTCCCAAGCCCGCCCGAGTGACTTGACGAAGTGCCCAGGTGGACTTACCCGTACGTACTCTACTCCGACGTTTATAGAATTACCAACCTTACGAAAGACTTCGTAGCGGCTAGAACAAGACGTCTGCTTTGACCAGACGCCGCTTCCGTTGACGCAAGCAACGGCCAGATGAAATTTACCCAGTTGTATGGTCCTGGACAGCGTCAAAAAGGGTGTGTATGCTGGTAAGGCGTCCAAGGACAGTTCATGATCAACTGACAGCGCACTTGTGCCTCATCGTGCCGTGCTTTCTTGCTCTTTCCGCTTTGCGAGGGGCCAAAGCGGCGATGGTCTGATTCCCGTGATTCATGTCGAAATCCACGACAGCAGTCCATGACTCTTCGCAGGGGAGTTCCACAAAACGACTTCGTTACGGGTTGTAGTTGCTGTGTCACTGCCCAATATCAACTGGATCGCCTGTAACAAATAGCATCGGATGCATCCCGCCGAAAGTATCCTCGCCTCGCCTCGACGCCTACCGAGGCTGTGCAGCCTTTGGTGACGGGTCTCATGCGATGGGGCTAAGCACCCGGTGTTGCGCCTCCCTCCGTCTACCTTGGTAGCTTACGCGCACGAAGATCTTCCGCATCTAAGATTCGCGAGCCGATCCATGTAACAGTAACATGCCGGTTGTAGTCCAGTAAGCCAATGTCTCTGGGTAAGGTAGGCGAGTTGTTTTTTTCGATTCTCGCATGCCGCGGAAATGCTTCAAGCATGATCACCATCAACATTGTGAACGAACGCATGTTATCCTTGCCAAACGACTATCTAAGCGATTGACAATCGCGCAGCAGAATACGAGACACTTCCACGCCTTAGGCGTGTTGGTATGGAAAGCACGGTGTGCGTCACGCTCACAGGTTGCAGCGGTGAACGATAGCTCACATACACTCCACCTAGGTACAAAGAAGAAAAGTGTCCACCATGTGGAAATGCAAACACGGGCCATGTGTTCGGCTGAAGGCTATGACAAAGGCATCAAAAGTCGCAAGTCTCTTCTCCAGAACCGCAGAGTACGACTAAATGTTCTACACTGTACACCGTAGTGTAGCTAGGTAAAGGAGAAATCCAGGTGAGATAAACTTTGCGCTACCTATGAGCAAAGGGTGCATGAAAGTCGTACGATTGACCCTGCAGGAAATGATATTCAACATAGCCGAGCTTCGGTACTCATCATGTTGTTGGACGGAACGGGTGCAATGAATGAGTACGTTACCCGAAGCGTACTTGATCTGATAGCTCTGCTAGCCACGTTTTCAAACACTTCATTGTGTGCGCTATTCACGTATGTCACCGAAGATCTTCGGGGTTTGGATGACCCTGTGGCTAGATTGGACGAAGTTCCGAACCAATCGCGAACGTCGGCGTGGCTTCCGTAGCCACTGACGTGCTGAAGGCACGAAACGGTAGAGACCCTGATATAGCGTGTGCCAGACTACCGGGACAAGATGGAGAACCGACAGCAGGGGACTGAGATGAAGTCAGGTCTGGACCTCGATCGATATCCTCCGTACAATTCTCTTCTACGCCTCTTCGACGCTTGCAAAGTAAGCTTTCTAGTTCTGCCATATGTGCGAGCCATCTGTTCCAAATCAACGTACCAATCCACGGATTTATGTTGCCTAACGTCATTTACCGGCGAAGACCGGCCACACCGGGGAACACCACAGCACACCTAGCCGGCCCTGAACTATGCCCTCAACTTCTATTCTCTAACCAGCCCCCAGTTATCCTTGCGACTTCATGTCTCCTCAGCAGCGATCAAGAACAGATGGAAAAATTTCAGGTCTTGAAAGTACGCAAGTAGAGAATGACCTACCAGTGAGACAACTCTCACATCTAGAACCTATGATCTAGCTCTGGGATAGATTGAAGCATTACCAAGTTGTGAAGATCCTCGGCCAGGGTCTGATCACGGTTCAATGGGTGAATGGGCAGCAGTAGAGCCCATAGTAGTCTGAGACGTCTGAGACTCCAAGGCCGCAAAGTCTAGCGCAGGTCCGCAAGAAGCCGTAAACTCTGCGATCCCTGTGTACTCGAGACTTCATAGCCCAAGGTTACAGACGGAGTTCGATGAGCAAATCTCGGTGTGATGGTCTAAGAGTACCTCGCAAAAGGTTGCTGATCGAGCTTGGAAGGCGCGTCCAATTTCCTTTTTGGGAGAGGCAGAATATCTGCCCGGGCAGAATACATCATCCAGACACGATCAACACAGAGAGAGATATTGGTCAAACATGACTAGGGAAAGTGCTTACTTGGGAAACATCATAAGCTTCAGAAGGGAGATGGGCTTCAATAGTCTTTCGTACCGCAGCTACACTTCAATAATGGGTTTGATTGTAGTTTCTGCTCACCGAGATGTGTAGCACGTGGTTGCACACTGCACGGTGGAATGCTCGGTGAGTTGGCGTTAGGTCATAGATGCGATCGGGATACCAATCAGACGTGGTTAGAGCCATGTATCTAAGGAAGCGACTGCGAAGTCTTCCCCGTACCCGTTCATGGTGTGGAGCTAGTTGAAAAGCCTCGTGCTCCGTCTTAGGGTAAGAATACCCTCTTGGGCTAAGTTTGGGCCGACTTAGAATAATTGCTTGATGACAATTGAAAAAGGGTCAGGAACAGGTTTGGAGGTAAGGTACCACTACAATAGCATCGACTTAGACGGCGTCCCGTACAGCTTGACATAGGCAATGTTGTGGAAAGTTTCAGCCTCGACGCCGTATCCCCGCGTAGTCTGTCTATAACCCACTATGCGTCGAAGTCGAGCATCCAGCTAGTGGAAAGAAGATCACGGGAGTTCTTTCTCGTGCGTATGCCGGCGGGAGGCGCAGTGGAAGAAGCACTATACCCGCCGCTTTGCTTACCTCGCTGCACGGAGGTATGCCATCCGACTTGGATAGAAGAAAGAAAGGCATATGAGCGTGGCGTGGCTTCGTGGTGGCGTTCTGCACTCTAATGCGCGTGCGGGAGAATGTTCCTGCCCAGCTGCCTGACTATTGACCCTGGCAAAAGCTACTTGACCGTGTTGGTCTTAACGTCCGGGCGTCGAGAGGGCACATGAAGCCGACATTCGTAAACTTAAAAACTACGTCACACCCTACCATCCTTGATGGTCTAAGCATACTGCGTTTTTCTCATGGCGGATCCCGGTTGGGCGCTTCAACGCGGCAGCGCGTCCAGCAAGCTTTGGTGGCTATCGGTCCGACTAGATATTACCACACCGGCTTGGGTCAAGGGCGTCGCGCTGCTTAGATTCTACGTGTTCCTAGCGACATTCCAACAAGCGTCCATGTTAGGTTGAGACCATACGGGATACTAAGCTATGGAGGCCTGGAACTTCGTTGAAAGTTGATTTGAGACGATCTGCCGCACGTCACTGCACCAGTGAGCATGCAAAGTGATGATCGACAGGCGTGATCTAACCGTACCTATGTTTACACCAAGAAAAAGGGTCCGATTCCACATAGCAACCTTGATCGCGCGCATGGCGTACTGAGGCTACTTGCGGTTTACAGATCTCTGTTCAATCAGATGGAGAGCGACTCATACCAGTCGAAAACTTCATGACATAGTATCATGGGGTCGCATGTCCGCGTTCGGTTTCGCATGCCTTTGCCAGCATCTCGTAGGAGCGGCCGTTCTAGCCTAGTCTAACAGTGCCGTCCGCTAACCCGATTTCCCCGCGGTCGTTGCTGTGTGGTGCGCTAAAACACTAGATCCAGCTGCATCCGAAAGCTGGTGTTTAGATGGGCGACGCTTTTGAAACTTCGTCCCAGTTCTATGTGCGTGTCAGCAGTTCCGCACAGGAGTTCGCCGGGCACTAATGAACCTCAGGCTCAGTGCTCTAGTAGAGGATATACAAAGTTAATGCCCGATATGCATTGCGGATCTTCCATGTGAATTTTGCAGAAGCAAATCCTTCCCTCCACCACCACCTTACTCCGACATAGCTCCTTTTGTTGATAACTCCGCCCTGAGATATGCTCGCATTCATGCCGGCACAATCATCGAATTCGTCTCCTGGTAGGTCGGCATCATGTCCAGCTCTTGATCCCCCCACTAACATATACCGCAGGATTGAACTACTGGTATGGCAGTGGCAGCTTGCCTGACACTTTAGAAGGACTTCCGCAAGGTAGCGCAAATCCTCGCTTGATGCGTCGTGCCTCGGAAGCCGTAGGACAAGCTCAGGGAATCCAAATGTGAGTATGTCAGTCTTAGCAGACTATCCCCACCAGCATACACACGATAGCAATCGACCCCGTCTCTGGACCCGGACCGGACCCATCTTTCGCCCACCTCGCACTCCGTTACCACTCCTCAAAAGGCCGAACCAGTACCTGGAAGGTGGTGGATGGCCTTGCAGTACGATGAGTCGACGACGTCCCTCTGAGCTCGCGGCAGGCTCCAATCCCCATCATCCACCAGAGACACAGAGCACGTTTCGAAGCACCGGTACGATCCGGAGATGCCAAGAAATACCTGGGAATCGTGAGAGATTGCTCAAGCTATTGCTCGAGCGATGATCCCCGGGGAAAGGATCTGCAAGTCGTCTTACGACCGCCCGTGGCTGTGCATATCGGCATGTCGTATTGGCGACGGAGAATATGTGCTCCGTTTAGGGTCTCCTGGCTATCACGACGGTAATTTGATATACCTGCCCGTTGCGGCGTCAGGATGACCCGTGCATTGCTGCGCTTCCAAGGATTTCCTTCGGCACTGGTTTCGGGGCTGTTGAATTCGGGCTGCTGGCGCGGGGTCCAAACCACCATGGACGGCGCGCATATCGATGCGAGTCTACGCAACGATGTGCGCAAGCCAGATGCGCGACCGTCGGGATGCATCGCCAGCTGCTTCTGCCATTTTGACGCGGATTTTGAGTTTTGCTGACACTTCATCAGTCAGGAGCCCTCCGAGTGGGACGAAAGCCAGGTGCCCCTCCACCTCGACACCAACCAAACCAACCTCGTGATTCGCCCGCTGGCAGCGTCCGCCGCTGCAAATCACAAAGCCCCGCTGGCGCCCAAACAGGGACTTGGAGGCGCCCTTGCCAATGCTCGGGGGCAGCATTCGTCTCCCATTGCCGGCACGTATGCGTTGCGGACGCCCCGCGGGAAGATCACATCGATAGCATGTGAAAGCTGCAGGAAGCGCAAGTCCAAGGTACGTACCCGTTGTGCGCGTATGCCACAGGCACACTGACACATGCGCAGTGCGACGGCGTGAGGCCCAAGTGCAACACTTGCCAATCCAAGAACCTCACATGTGTCTACGATGTCGCCGAAGATGGCAAAACGACAACTCAACTGCGGGCCCATGTCAGGCGGTTAGCCAAGGAGTTGGATGATATGAAGTCCGTCGTGTCGCTGCTGGCAATGGCACCGGATCGTGCATCGGCTGCAAACTGGGCGTCCGAGCTGGAGAAGAATGGTTTCGCACACCATTCAGCTGAGGAGGTCAAGAAAGCGCTTTCGGTACGTTTCGCTTCAACCACTCATGGCCTGTTGCTGACTGAAGAAAAGGAGTCTCTGGGTCCAACACCTGCCCTTGCAGACGCCGATTCGTTTGGAACTCCAAGCAGTAGCGAGCCCTTTCCTGGTCACACGCACCCCTTGGCCGGCTCATCGTACGGCGGTTCTTCCCGTGAAGAAAGAGAACAGAGCCAGTCTTCGCTGGCCTATTCCCACGACAATCCCGTCGACGTGACTGTGGCCGCGAACCCCTCTCCACTCAGCCTCGAGGCTGCGGCGAATGCCCTCAACAAATTCGGCTTCGATTGCGCGTTCTATCGGAGGACCAAACGAGATCAGCTCGCGAATGGGTGGAGCGAGCCCCAGATATTTGGAAGATCGGAGATCGATGTCGATACTCTTTTGCTGGGCTTCTTGGACCCTCAGGATGCGCAGCCAGTCTCGACGTGGTGTTCCAGAACAGTCAACAGGCTGCTTCCCTCGTCCCCTCTGCCAGTCAGACTTGCGTCTACATGGCTTTTGACTAAATTGATGCGCGTAAGTAATGTTTCGCACGGCACGAAGTCGGAGCTAATCCTTCTGCAGTTCCTCATATGGCCCAGTGTGGAGAACGTGAACGCAAGTCCGGAGTGGTTGATGCCACCCGCAGGAAAGCAGGAGACGTCACCGTACGATATGCTCATTGACCTTGTTCCCTGGTACGTTCGCCGGCTCTTCAAATCTTCTGATTCTTACTGACCATCCTACAGGCCTCAAGTACGCCAGCTGCTGTATGCGCATCCCCAGGAATATCCAGTTGTACATCTCGTTGGATTGATCGGTATCACATGGCCATACGCGGACGATGCGTGCCATTACTGGGACATTGAATCCGGCTACACCCGTATGACACCACTTTTTGAGAGTACCATCGCCGACCTGAACAACTGGACTGTCGATCCAAAGATCCTCGAGATTATGCCGCAACTGGAGGGGCATATCCCGATCAAGCCGGTAGCATGATATTCTTGCAGCGTTTTGGGTTGTTCATGTTATTCTTTCGGAGTTTAGTCCATCATCGGGTTCTTGGTGAAGTTCATCTTCGCATCTCTTGGTCGCAATCGGCGTATCCTTCACGTATCTTGGGGCGTTGGTCACATCGCAGGGCCGCTGTCCGCGAAAAGCCGTCTTTGGGTAATCATGTCTTGTAATCAAATGTCCGGGAGTAAGGCCTGGGGAGTGTAGTAATTGGGAATCGGAAAGGAACGATACAAACGAAAATGGAACATACTTGAATATAAGCAGCAAGTGCACGATTGCCTGAAAGTATCCGAACCCGGCCCTAGCAGCGCCAGGCCTTCCAAATAACTCTCCTTCGAGTCCGCGGAAAGCAATCTAGCGCCAAACTCCACTATCGGCTTCCAGCCATGTGGCTCTTGTGGCTCTTCTGTACCCACTCTGATCAATGTGATGCCAAGGCTAGACCGGAAGAATCAAACCGGTGTGGCGATCGGTGGAACATCTCGACTCTTTACACGGGCGATCCCGCTAGGAACTTCACTATGGCAAACGGCATTCGTGATCGAGAGTCTACTCGAGTCGGTAGATGATTGTGGTTCGATTCTTACTCATGTCCATGGCTATAGCGCATCCCTCTCGATTGCGGAGATGACTGTTAAAGTATTAGTGAAAATATCGAGAGACGGGCGCTGTGCTCTATACCCAAGAACGGCATATCTACGTGCAGCTTTGCACCTTACTGGTCCCGGCAATTCGAAGGGCACGCGTGGGGAACACGGCTTCTGCCGTGTAAAAGCGACCCACTTGCGATATATGGGTCTTTCGAAGATGTTGGTATTGGGAAGGTATTCCTCACTGAGCGTTAGGAACTCTTGTGTTATCGTGGCTTGAGCAGAGCGGATGCAGCGGGCAAAGAGCGACAGCGCTGGCTTTTGTGAGGCATCCTCTCCGCGGAAGCCGCAATGGCCTAGCCAAGTATATTCCCGTCTCTGTATCCTGAGCGTGCAGCCATTGTCCCACTATGCTCTAGCTTCGACTGACCATTCTGTCGGGATTTAACATTTCTTGGATGCTTTTGCTGTTTGGGAGGTTTGGGCTACAACTAACATTTTACCCAGGTATTACCGGGTGGAAATGGATCTTTGTGCAGATGGCTAGAACGAGCTGTATTTCAAAGGCCCCGTATGCAAACGAACATTCTCATAAACCAGACTCCATTGCGTTCACATGGGGATAATCCTACGAAACATTGTAGGGCATAGCGGATAGCAATTCTCGATAGGTATCTCCCCACTTGGGCTAGCGTTCCTTCTCAGATGTTAGACGCTTTTAGCCACAACCAGACTTTGGAAACGTCCCCAATGAGCATGCGACGCCCGACCACCGAGCATCAATCATCAGCAAGTTCGTGGGAAATGCCCATTCAGGCTGAGCGCATGCAGCCATGCACAAGCGACTTTGTACGAGCTTGCCTATAGCATCACCCGGTGGACGTACCGATGGATGACTCTGGAGCTGAACTTCGGTTGCATGGGGATGTCAAGGACTGCAGTATCCCATGCATGTGCTGTCGCCGGCATGCGCAAATCAAATCCCATCTCGCAATACCACCCGCGCATCGCGAGCCGGGCCCACTCTTTCATGGCTGTCAGAAACAGAGTGCTTGCGCAAGGGTTGGCATGATTCCGATTGGCTCCAGGTCAACTCAGGTGCACCATCAGCAACTGCGCGTTCATGATGGTTGTTCGGCCCGAGTCTTTGATCGAGCACACTTCGGCCTTCATTGCCGACATCCCTGTACTCATAATGCTCATCGGTTGGTGAACATGTTTGATCATGATGCATTGCATAAAAGCGCTGCCCACGGGATGCGCTGGCTAAGTCTGCATTAGAAATTATTTGGACTAAGCTGAACACACCGGGTGTTCTAGGACCGAAAAGACATTGCAGCACATCTGCGAACGATTGAGAACAAAGGAGACGATTCGACAGAGGAAACGCGCGACTCAGAAAAGATCCTCAACCCCCACTACATTGCCCCCTCCGCTACCGATAGGATGTCCACAACCTCTTCGACTGCTTTCGGATATATCCTGGTTCTCTTTCCCAGCGTTGCCGACCAAGTCATTCATCCCTGTGATCCATTCAGTTCGCCCCGCCGTTTCATTATCAGCCTTCAGATCGTACGTGATTTTGCTGCCCACGTAGCCGACATGGTTACCAATGACCTTGTTCACTTTGATCTCACCGTCGGGGCTGGACACACATATTGTCATGGCAGCATCCTTCCTTGCGGCAAGAATTCTTGATTGTGCTGCGAGACGCGATCGCATCGGTGTGAGGGCGACATCTGTATGGCTCGGTTCGAAGGTCGGGGAGCCGACTACAGAGTCTACACGTAACGCTGATGTCACCCCATAGATGGACGCTCTGTATTTATTTGGAGAATCCGCGACAGGCTCTTCCAACACGATGGAAAATCCGTCCGAAGTGGAGATGCGTGAAGCGGTCGCAATCTTGGACGTATCGGACGGAAGTAGTGCTGTCGCAAGAGGTTTACAAAGCGATTGTATGACCCCTTGAGGGTCGTGAGGCATGCGAATGCGACGTAGCATTGGAAAGCCGTTGGCCTGGATACTTGCTGCAAGCAGAGATGTGGCGTGGCAGCATATCGGTTCAACGTTAGGGAAAGGGAATGGTAGTGATTCTGGTAGCTCCGCAGATCTGGGTGAAATGAATGAAGGCAACGGGGAGGCCTCGGAGCGTATTTCCCAGTGGATGTATTGGAGTGATGGCGAGTCGAACACAGGATCGAAATTTCGCCTCGATAATATTGGCGCTCTGGTTTGGACGAGCGAGAACTCCTTCAAGCTGGCAAGATGTGGAGAAAGAATGTCCGCTATCGTGAGTATGCTTTCAATTTCCAAGTCCACAAGCGTCAGTTTCTGGATCGAGACGGCCTGCCGTGAGGTAGCAAGGCGCTGAATACCTTTCTCCGTGACGCCGGGGAGGTTTTCAAGGCGCAGTGACTGTAAGTTTGGTGGTATAGCGTTCAAAGCCTAAAGATGAGTGTACGAAGTCAGTATTTGTCTCACATACAGTTCGTACATGGACATTACTAACTATGTTGGTAAACGAGTGCGCCGCGAGTCCAGAGATCGCCAGATTTTGCAGATGTGGAGAGTTTCTGAAAGTTCCAACCACAGCTCGGAAATTGAGATATGTCAAACACTGGCCCTGCTCTTGATGCAGAACCAGAGTTGATAAATTGGAATGTTGAGAGCTCAGGTTGAGGAAGCGTTCGGTCGGGTCACATTCGGCGATATAGTTGCCTCTTACTGTCTCGTCGTCTTCGTCATCTGCTCCGGCGTCTCCATCCGCATTGGTCAACATCCACGCTCTTTCCCTGAGATTTGGTCTTGTAGACAGCGCGTGCGACAATCGGTCAAAGGCTTGTGAGAAGTGGACATGAAATCCGACTAAGCGTTCCAAACGCGGACAAGCCATAACCAACGAAGCTGCAAGATCCACGATCTCTTCTCGTTCAATGGTTGCGTTCTCGTAAAGCGACTGAAAATCAGACATGTGCAATTCCAGTACACGCCGAGATAGTCCAGAATTCTCGCGAAGTGTCCTCCGTAACAACTTTAGTCGGCTTGTGCCTTTTGTCTTGAGCTTCGGAAGCCCTCCATGCTCTTCATTGGTGAGAACCAGGACTTTGCTGTACATGACAGCACTCGCAGCCTTATCCCATGCGCGGCTCGTCAATGACAGGCTGTGGAGATCTCCAAGATAACATGATCCACAAGCTTGGTTGCGGTCCTGATAGATCATATTCAATTGGGCAAGAATGCAGTCGTACACTTCCCTCGGAAGCTTCTTGAAAATATGCGCCGGGAATTGGTAAATAGGCCTTGAGCGTCTGCGCGTTGAGTTCCTCCTGCCTCGTTCGAGCTCCCACGGAGTTTTCGTCAGGCGAGGTACAGCCCAGGCATCATACGCCGCATCTTTATGTATGCTCCGGATGGGAATCTCGGCATCGGTATATCGAGTTGATGAACGTATAGCGGCCTTTGGAACTACAACCGTTCTGGACGCGGTGGAGGATCGGTCTGTCGACACACTAACGGATCTCGGTCGAGACGGCTCATATCTAAAAACAGTCAGTGAATGAGGTTGAAGCTACTTCGAATACCGAACCACCCGCAAAGTCTGAAACGGGGGCCTGAAAAGACCCTGTGAATCGTGATGGCCATGAACGGCCTTGACTCCTTCAGAACGTATGTGTGGCGCGCGGTCGATTCGATCAAACTTACACATCGACCTGGTGCTTCTCCCCTTTATCCTTCCAGGATCTTGATAAACGGAACATGATTATCGCGCGTTCCTGAACAACACTGCGGCTATTGAAGAGAATGACAAAGGAACGAGTGCCAGTCTCGACAATACGGGAACAGATGTCGCATCAATAAGCCCAAGAACAGTACAACACAAAACCGACGAAAAATTTGGACCAGACGCGTGTAAGACGGCGCGCAATGTTCCAGCGCCGCGACCTACCCTGCAACACTCATATATCCCGTACGACGCACCCAGACATGCGCTCCGCACGGGCGGCAACCCAGCATGATGCCGTCACAAACCCACGGACTACCCTGCAATTAGCTCCCAAGAAAGACGCCGAGATGGTAAAGCCCACAGCGGACGAGGTCAGCGGGTCAATCAGAGAAATGCATGTACGCCACGAGTGAATCATGGCGACAGCACTACGATACGACAGGTAGGTTCCTTCGGCTGTTTCTGGAGATTGCAAATCCTCCGTCGGGTTGGCGAGGACTTAGCGCCACCGAAGCCGCGGGTATAGAATTGTGCTCTCGCTCTCGCGGGTAATGACAGATAGTGGGACCAGGAACGAGAAATATTTTCTTGGTCACTGTTGTGCCGTTGTACCTAGGTAGTTATGCGACCATGCAACGGCCCTCCGCAGCGTCCACCTCACGATA